CATCGGAGCCCTGAAGATCCCTACAGTTCCCCCCCGCCTGCCCCTTTAAGCACATACGACGCCCACCTCAACCTTTGCTCGCAAAGGGTTTAGGGTTTAGGGTTTGGGGGTTTAGGGTTTAGGGTTTAGCCCCTAAGCCCTAACCTCAAGGGGCTAAAGGACCAACCCTTAAAGGGACCCTTGGGGTTTAGGGTTTAGGGCTTAGCCCCTAAACCCTAACCTCAAGGGACTAAGGGAGCGACCTTTAAAGGGACCCTTGGGGTTGTATAGGGGCTTTATGAGACTATATAAGGGGTATATAAGGGTTATATATTAAAGGGACCCTCGGGGTTATATAAAAACTTTATGAGACTATATAAGGGGTCTATAAGGGTTGTATAGGGTAGTAGGGTTAGAGATCCATTCTGGGGGTCCCTCCTACTGTCCCTTAACAGAATCATATTTTGGGCCTTAAGCGTTCTGGTGTTCGGGGTTCAAGCCTTTAGGGTTTAGGGCTTTGGGTTTTTTGCTGGTGTTCGGGGTTTAGGGGTTTAGGGTTTAGGGTTTTTCTGGTCTTTAGGGTTTATAGGGGTTTAGGAAGTTTAGGGGTGGAGGCTTGAGGCTTGTTCGATTTATGGCCTTGGGGGGTTTTGGGGGTTGAGGACTTTGGGGTTTAGGGTTTAGGGTTTAGGGTTTTTGAGGCTTTGGGGTTCTCATGACTGCAGCCACTCTCCCGGTCAGCGACTGCATGAACCGGACGAATGGTTCGTAGAGCTTTCCAACGAAACGCGGTGGCGCGGGCCAGAGCCTTCAATATAGGGGCCTTCTAGGGTTTGGGGGTATTATAGTATACTATTATTATAGTATAAGAAAACCCTCAACACCCTATTGTAATTATTAAGGCCCTTATATTATGCCATTTCCGCCATTTCCTTGTCGACCGAAGGTCCCCCGGTGCAGGAGCTCTGCGGCGGGGGCCGTCCATGTGCCGGCACGTAAGCATCGGTCCAGTAAGGAGAACAGTGCATATAACACTTTTTGGCAGGCTTTTTTCGCCCGGAACTGCCGTCGCCGTGAAGCAGTGCAGCACTCATATATAACCCTAAACCCTAAACCCTAAACCCTATAAGCCCTACACCCCTAAACCCTTTTCAGCACGGGCGACGTTCTGGTTTAACGAGGGATGCAACCGGTGGCCTGAACCCTAAACCCCAAAACCCTGAAGCCCTAACCCTGAACCCTAAACCGTTGGGCGCTGTGCTGCCCTACTTAACAGCCAGGGTCTCCGTCCGAACTGGCTTTGTGGCCGCAGGGATCACCTAAACACTATAAATCCGAAACCCTAAAGCCTCGACAATAAATCCTAAACCCTAAAGCCAAAGGCCTATAAACCCTAAAGCCTCAACCCCCAAAAGCAATGACCCTGTAGGACGCTTCCGTCAGGCTTTCGTAAAGTCAACATGTATTCTCCACTCCGGGGTTTCGGAGCTTTGGTCCGTCTTTGAAGGTGAGGATCTGGCAGTTCAATAGGGGCCTTAATAATTAGAATAGGACTTTGGGGGCTCCTTATTATATTTATATATACGGTGACGATGTTGAAAGAAGCTTCTCTTTTTTTTAAGACCTAAACAGATATTGTATACTACCTCCGTTGGCTTCGGGCCCGGGCCGCCCAGCCCATTTTAAATAAGCGCAGGCTGGAGGCGTGGCTTGTGGAGGGGCGGTGGAGGAGGGGTGGAGTGAAGGGTGGAGGTGGGAGGGGTGGCGGGGTGGAGGGGTGGAGGGTGGAGCTTTGGTTTTTTTTTTTGCATATACGATTTGAAACAAAATGTTTATACTACCTCTGGCTCCGGGGGCTTGGCCGCCCTCCACTTATGTACAAAACGTCACCGCAGTAGAATATACCCCCAAACCCTACTCTAATTACTAAGGCCCCTATATTAGGCTTCAGGGTTCTGGGTTTGGGGATGAGGGTGCGACTAGACTCGGGCAAACCATGCCGAAGTAAACTGTGCTCCCTGCGCATTACCTAAACCTTCAGTGGCGCGTCCTTTTTGGATCGTCCATACTACCCTTTTATGGGCTCCTCACTCCTGACCACACAGCTGCTGGGAATCACAGGTGGCGCGTCCCTAAGCCCTAAGTGGCCCTAAGCGTCAGGCATCAAACCACACAAAATGATGCCCCAGCAGCCAAACCTGATGCTCCTAGAAGCCAACACGCTACATGCCTGAACCCTGATGTCCTATAGAACGTATGAGATCCTGCATTTTCGGCCTTAAACCCCTGTACGCACCCAAATAACATCCTGAAGCCCGGATCTGTTCAAGAATAAAGTCCTCCTCTGGAACCGGCTCCGCAACCTCTGCTGGGATCTGCTTCTGAAGGGTCGATTCCAAGTCGTCGTTTTGGGGTCTGGGGCCGCAGGCTTAAGGTATGGAAAACTCAACCTTCCTTCCCGTAAGGGTTCAACTTTTAGGCATTTATGGCTTTGGAGCTCAATTTTGCCCGAGCCTGTACCCTAGGACTCCTGTCCCAACAACCAAGGAACCTGTGCGATCGACATGCAAGGAGCGTCTTGGACACGAGGGGCAGGAATCACCTCGGGTCACGCGTGGAACGGCTTACAAGTAGTCTCCGTTGTAGTAGCGATTGTTGCTGCCATGTTTTTTGCTTACTGGGCTAGTGACAAGTCCAAAACTAAGTTACTTAACCCTAAACCCTAAACCCAAGTAGGTTAGTTAAACTTGTAAAGAACTTCCAATGGCGACGTGTGCTAGCGCGTTCGGCTTTCGAGGAGCTTCTTCGAGGCTTGGGGTCGCGTGGCGACTCTCCGAAAGCGACATCTGCAAAGTCCGTTAAGAGCAAGGCTGGCAGAGGGTAATGTAGGGGCCTGAATGATCAGAATAGGGTTTTGAGCCCATTATACTATAGTTATAATTTAAGTATTTATTTCGGCTCCTATAGCGGAATATGCAACGCACCCAAGCAATATGGATGCTGTCACATAAGGTGAGTTCAAATTCTGAGCCGGTGCATCCAACCTTGAAAACACTGCCAGGCCACTGCTGACTAGAAGCCGCTGCTAGAGGAGTAAAGGAGTGCAAGAAGGTTCTGTAGAAGAAGGTACCGGACCCCGCAATGCTCCCGGTGTCGTTTTGGTGGCCATGAAAAACGGAGATTGCAAACACAAGCACGAATTTGGTGGCACTGCTGCCCCTCCGAGAAATTCATGGTAGGGTAGATCAAGGCGTAAACCCTAAACCCTAAACCCTAAACCCTAAATATCTTGACGCACCCGGCCTCGGGCCTCGGCGGCTTGTTCTAGCTGTCTGGTGCTTAGTAGGGAATGGGGGAATGTGTGTTGAAACCCTGAACCCCTGACGTGGCGTCCTCAGAAACCAAGCCGGGAGCCCGTGCAAAGTCATGAACCCACCCGTTGTCTCCATTGTAGTTCCTTTCTGGGGCCACCTTGTAGGATCCTCTTCCTCAGTACAAAAATTCGTTAGACAAAAAACAGGAGCTACAATGAGACTGTAGGTAAAGCCAGTATGGAATGTTTAATAATTTACGGTTTTCGGTATGGGAGTTCGTTCTTTTTATCGGAAACCCTAAACCCTAAAGGCGGACCCCAACAAAAACCCCAAACCCTAAACTGTAAACCCACAACTCGGTTTAGGGCCAAGAAAACCTTTGGTCGACGCTGTGGTGATCGGGCCTTGGGGCTTTCTTAATACTGGGAGTACCAGCACACAAAGAGCATCTTCCACTAGAATGCACATGTAATAAAACATCCTATCAGGAAATATAATGCTACACAGTAAAACAACACAATATAATCTGATGCGATATGATTTTAAATACTCATACTTGCTGACAAGCAGCTGTCCCCATGCAGTATGGCGCCGCCGGAAGAATTTGCGGCTGGCCTGCAGGAGAAAGGATCTTGAATAAGCTGCCAGTATTTATTTCTTAGTGTCCCACTTCTCTTTTTCCAAGCGTATGAAATGGTTGAAGTCAACCAGTGCCTAGGACTCGAGGCTTTGAGGTTGGATTTCAAACCGGGCCTGCACCAGGGACAGGAAGCAACATCGCACCCTGCACCTGTCCGTTTGGCAGCCTTAGTATAGCTTAGATTAAACAGCCTTAAGCCATAAAGTCGAGGGGTGTAGCAGCTGAGAGTCTAACTGCCGTCAACATCTCAAACCTGAGAACCGGACGCTCCTGCCCTCTAAACCCGTTGGTTTAGGGTTTAGGGTTTGGGCTCATCGATGAAGTGTCTCAGTTAATAGGAGCCATCACTGAGGATCGAGATCCCAATCCTGGGATTGGGGGCTAGGCTCGCAAAGGGGGGGGGGGGGAACACCAAATCTAA